ACACACACACACACACACACACACACAGGCAAACACACAGAGACGCACACACGCACACACGCACGCACACACACACACACACACACACACACACACACGTCATTATCAGCAAAAACTGCGTGGATGAGGCCATGGTTTGTGGCATTGCGCAATTGGATCGCAAAAGTGTCTCATCCACGACTAATGCAGACTTACCTTTCAATCTTTGTAAGTGTTATTTATATAAGCTGGTGGATCGCTGAAGGACTGACATTCGGAGGCTGTAAGTATATCATTGAAGTCTGTTGGCTCGAAGATGGCGGCTGTATTGTTCCGCTTGTTGACTGCGGCGCTTGCTGGAGAATGTGTGTGCTAAGAGTACAGCGTTACGATGTTGGGTCTTCCGTTCTCTTGCTTCTGCGCCTGAGATCTGGTTGATCAGCTGCAGCTCTTCTTGCAACGTGTGGGATTGTGGACAGCTGTGTAGTTGCTATTGGGAGAAGTCGTAAACCTCCCCGTGACGAAACCTTTGTATCCATTTCCCCCAAACCGCGAAAAAGGTGCCGCAGGCCCCAAATTTACTTTCGGCGTCATTTTTGCACCCTGGCTGGGCAGGTAACGGCCGGCGGCCGCTGTGTAAAAATGGCGGGAAGTGTTTTGCAGCGGAGCCTTTTCCCCTTTTTGGGTGACTGGGAGGTTGCTGCCACTTCGTTGTTTTTTTTGGACCATTTCGTCGCGGGGAGGTCTTACCAATTTTCCCGTTGTTATTCGGGTGACTGGGAGGTTGCTGCCACTTCGTTTTTTTTTTTTTTTTTTGGACCATTTCTCGATTTATGCTTGTCATCCTTGCGCAGGGGCCATACTAATCTTCTCTGTATCGTTCCAATTTTAAGAGATGTCCCGAAGGACGCCTCTTCATTTGTACGGTACCACCTCGGGATAATTTATAGCTACGGCCCAATGGTTTGTCACGCCCAAAGTCGTCTGGTTTGGTAGTACAGGCCCAAGCTTTCACTCGAGCTACTACCCACGCCTATTGGTTTGTGGCCCCCAAAGTCTTCAGTTGAGTGCTGCCAGCCTTCGGTGTGCTACCCATCCCTATTGGGTTCCCTGTTTTCCTTCTTTATAAATCAATCAATCAGTCAGTCAATCAATCAGTCAGTCTTCAGTCAATCAGTCAGTCGGTCAGTCAATCAGTTAGTCGGTCAGTCAATCAATCGGTCAGTCTGTCAGTCAATCAACCAATCAATGAATAGTGCGTGGACACACACACACATCCATGGCTGAGTTCGTTTGTAGAGTGGGTTTTATTGCAGTGAGTCAGTGACAGATATGTCTCTCAGACTCACTGCGGTAATACTGCTGTTCTTTTTCTGAGCGGTATCGCTACCTCGGGGTTACTTTTCATCAGTCAAAGGCACTCTGGGGCAGTGCCATCACCGTGAACGTGACCCGCCGGTCACGGAGCCAGAATCCGTGAATGGCCGTTCACGGGTTTCCGGGCAGGTGGCGGCAGGAGACTTGGGGATAAGGGCGGGAGGGGGGTTGAGCCGGGGCAGTGAAAACCCCGATGGGAAAATAAAATATTTTGGGTCCTGGTAGAACGTCCGGTGGCGTACGGCCCCAGCAGGGAAGCGCCAAGTCACGGCCGTCCGGTTACGGCCGTCGCGGCCCGTAGGGGTCTCTCTCTCTCTCTTTCTCTCTCTCTCTCTCTCTCTCTCTCTCTCTCTCTCTCACACACACACACACACACACACACACACACACACACGCACACACACACACACAGATGGAATCACCTCCCTCGCGGACGGGTATTGTGCAGCATTAGTGCTTTATTCAAGTTTATTGCACCACCGCCCCAAACACCACCGCCCCAAACACCACCGGGTGGGAGGCGGTCTGGAAATGCGACCGTTTTTTTTTTATTTTTATCTGTTTGTTTTCTTTCATCGTCGAGCCGTACGAGTGACCTTAAATTGGTCTTCTTCTTTTGAAGTGCCGAATTATTGCCCTCATGGGGGTTTACAGGCAACCAAGGGCATGCCAAACAGCCAAAAAACAATTTTTTATGAACTTGTTTTCATAAACATTTTTTTCCCCCCCCTGCCCCTGCCTTGCTGCCTGTCCTGCTTGCTTCGCATGTGGTTCTCTGCAAAATGCTGTGTTGGCTGTGTGGTGTGCCCGTGTTGTTGGTGTTGTATTGCGCTTCTCTGCTCCACTGCCTTGCCCCCCATCCACTGGTGTGCCTTTGTCGCTTGCCTGCCCTCTTGGTGAAGCCTTGTGCTTCGCTGCATGGTTGTTTGCTGCTTGTTAAGTTGTCTGCTCGCCCTGTTGTCCCTTGCGCTTCACTACACTGTTGCTATTTGACTACTCTGTGCTGCCAGGTTGCCTTGTGCTTCACTACACTGTTGCTATTTCACTACTCGGTTACTATGCTGCTCTTCCGCTTGCCTTGCCGTTGTTTGCAGTCTTCTTTGGTGTTGTGCAGCCATGTTGCCTCTACTGCGTTGCCTGGTGCTTCGCAGGGTTGCTGCCCGCTGCTATGTTCCGCTTGGGACAGTCTGCCTTCAACACGCCTCAAAGGGTTCATGACCCAAACCATCAAATATGTCGATTCCGCAGATTGTAGAGGGTTCAGCCTCCTGATGAGTAGGTGCAACTCGGACAAAACAATCTATCATGGGATAATTGGTAGAAAGAGCCCATGCCAAAACCTTTTCGGTTTTGGACGCCCAAAGTTCGGCCGTTTGGTACTACCGGCCCAAACAACTTTCTCCTGGGTGAAAGGCCTTCGCGCCGTGGCCACATCTCCCTGGGCCTGTTTTTACCGGTTCAAGAATTTGGCTCTGTTTCTGCGCCAGATTCATGAACCGGTAGGGCCCTTCTTTTTCAAACTCGCGTACATGGGGCGTGAGGCCACATCTCCCTGGGCCTGTTTTTACCGGTTCAAGAATTTGGGTCTGTTTCTGCGCCAGTTTCATGAACCGGTAGGACCCTTCTTTTTCAAACTCGCGTATGTGGGCCTCATTCGATAATTCAGCGTCACTACCGCCGGCCTTTTTTACATCAAAACGAATCTGGCGCTGTTATGTGCCAGATTCATGATCTGGTAGGGACCGTAGGGCCCTTGGAGTGACGCGTGGGCCTGTAGTACCCCACATGCAAGTCATTGGGCCGGTAGTACCAAACGGCTAAACTTTGGGCTGCCAAAGCCGAAAAGGTTTTGGTGTGGGCGCCTTCTACCGATTATCCCATCAGTTTTTTTGGTTTTTGTACTTGCCTAGTCCGCTGGTTGTCGTCCTTTCCGCTGCTTTATGTGCTTGTGTGTTGTCTGCCCTCCTGCCTACCCTGTGCCCTCCAACCTATGTCTTGTCTTGATTTCCTTTGGTTCCCTAGTGTATTGTGACACCCAAAACCTCACGCCCAGCGCGACTTCCTGATCAGAGTGGGATGTGGGCCTGGAAGTGCGAAAAGGGGTGTGTGCGACGCGCAACCTCATGCCCTGTGCTGTCTTTTGTTCGGAGTGTGAGACGTGTGGAAAGAGGCCCAGAAAAACAGCAAGATGGGGTGTGCCAAGGATTTTTGGAAATTGAGTGTGGGGACACAGATGGAACTGAAATCCC